TGAAACAGACTCTGAGCCTTGAGGAGGCAGGTCCTCACTCTGTCTGAAACAGACTCTGAGCCTTGAGGAGGCAGGTCCTCACTCTGTCTGAATTCACCCCTGTCACCTGAGGGGCAACCCCACACACAGTGCTGAGCGGGGGTGAGGGGAACTGGGTTCGCCACCTATTGGCTGAGTGGCTGGGTGGGCGAGAGCATGCTCATGCCCCTGTACCGCAGCCCGTCCTGGCTCCTGACCCAGTTCTTACTTGTTGCTGCTGAAGCTTTGGTTCCATCTTCGCTGACTTCAATTTTTGCTTTCTGCAAGATGTGCGACACATGCAGGTTTTCTGACCCTGTTTCCAGAAAATGAAACAAACACAGCATTTGTTTGATACGCAGGCCATCCATCTGGCTGGGGAAGTAACTTCAAATCCATGGCAAATTCCAGTTCTTAAAAGGTGTCAGGAGAAGTGACCTCTTACAGTCTGGTGATTGAAGGCTGTAGGGTGACGGTCACCTGCCGTGAATTTCAGTCTCTGCTAAGCGAACTGCGATATCACTTCTGAGGAGGGATTCACCGACCCTGAACGTGTCAGTACCTCTATCAATTCAACTCTGATCACTCAGCATTGTATAAAAAAATAAAAAGAGCAGAGCTTTAAAAAGGAAGTCCAGTTTTCCAGAAGAAGCAAGGCAGTAATATTATTTGCCAAGGACAGCATATCAGATCCAGAAAGGCCATTTCAGATGGCCTTTACGGATGGGGGAAACTGAGGCCCAGAGGGTGAAGAAATCTGCCCTCAGGTCATATGGCTGGTTAGTGGCTTTTCACAACAAAAGCCAGTCATCTCAAGGCCGTATTAGTGAGAAGACTGTTGAATGTAAGAAGGATTTAGAACAAGACTCAGAACGGCAATTGTGCCTCCTGGAACCTTCTAGTGAATTCACTTCCCTTCTCAGCAAAGCCTTATCACTCCAGCAATACCCACTGGCCACGGCATTGGAGGAGAATGCAAACAGAAGTTAATGATAGCCTTGAGGGACATAGGTCTGGAAGCAAAGGGGGAAAAGTGGACTTTCAACAGCACAGATGCTGGGCTCTGATATGACCAATGGGGAATGAGAGGAATGTCTGTAGGCTGCAAGTCACCGGAAGGTAAAGCATAAGATCTCGGGAGAATTTCAGGCACCTGGTCCTCCTTCCGAGCACCTGTGAACTCCCTGTGGCCGCGGTGTAGGAGGTGGACCACAGAAGAGAACCTCGGAGGGGAACGTGCAGGTTGAAACAATGCTCTCTAACGTCACTGGGCCGAGGAATCCTGCTAAAATGATTCTGATTCAGTAGGTCTGGGTGAGACCCAAGATTGTGCCCTTCAAACAAGCTCCCAGGTGATGCTCAGGCTGCTGGACTGGGGATGAGTTTGGTTATCCAAGAATGAAAGAGCGTCAGAATATCCCTACAGCTGCAAGTTCACCAGGCATGTCGTGTGTAGCCCAAGGACGGGAACACAGGTGTTTACCTGCAGGCCATCGAGGTCAGCAATGAACTTCAAGGGGGAAAAACACAAAAGGAGTACAAATAATGTTTAAGCCATGACTTTTCTTTGGAAGGAGGTTGCTGTGCTCCAAATTAAAAGGACCAAGAACTGAGTTATATTCACTAGGAACATAACTCTAGGAAAAGGTACATATATTGTCAAATGAAGCGATAGGATACCAGCTGCGTCCCAGATGCTTTGGCAAAGAAAGGTTCCAATCACAGCCCTCTGAATTTATACTATTTCGGATTAACGGGCATTAAATGCCAAATTACATATCTGGATATGGTGCATGCCTATTGCTTGATGGAAGCAAGTGTCTGAGAGTTTAAAAATCTTGATTCTTCAAACACAGGGGAATAGTTTGCGTTTAAAAAAGAAAGACTACTTAGGAGCTAAATTCGTAAGTAATAAAGACGATACACGAACGTCTTCTTTAACTGTAGAGTCACTTGGGCCTCATATGAAATGTACACGCGAAACATAGGGAGGAATGATTTCTGCTAATTTAGATGACTGAGGATGAACAGCATCATTTGGTGGTAAATCAGATTAAATCTTGGAGAGTTTCAGGGCAGCATACTCCTAATTTTGATCTTTTCTTTCACTCTTTTTTTTTTAATTTTAAAGACTGATTTATTTATTTGAGAGAGAGAAAGCGAGAGCAGGGGGAGGGGCAGAGGGGGAGAGAGAGAGAGCGAGCGAGCGATAATCTTAAATAGAATCCCCACTAAGTGCAGTGCCTGACGTGGGGCTCGATCCCATGACCCTGCGATCATGACCTGAGTCGAAATCAAGAGCTGGACGCTTGATGGACTGAGCCACCCAAGCACCCCTGATCTTTTCTTTCTGAACAAATCAGAGACCCAGTTTGTAACACAGTCTTCAAGTTTAAGACAAAGTTTTAAATTGAACATACTTGTTATTTTTGCAAAATTTGCTTTTGATGGATCAAACATCTCAGTGATGCCAAGAGCTTTCAGAGGCTCCTTCAGGTCTGTTTGTGCTACGGCTGTGAACCTAGCAGGAAAGGAGAAGATAAGGGAAAATCATTATACCATAAACAATGTAAAATGAGATAATCAGTGCCGGTGGGGAAGTGTTGATAAACTGATTCCTTTTTAAGTATGCTCTGAACACCAATCTACATTGTATCTGAAATTGTAGTTCCAAGATCTAAGTAGAGAACAACTCATCTCTCAAACACTTAGCTGGCAAAATGAGCAGTACACTGTGGCAGCAAACAAGGGTGGCCTCACCCTCATGTGCTAGAGGCCCCCCCTTTCCAATTCTTAGGGAGATCTGCAGAAACACTTTCCCTCATGCGGATGGGGGGGTATCTGGAACAGTGACTGGAATATCTACAGTTCTTCCCCATTTCTAACCAACCAAACATCATGGTGGCTGCCACATTGGGGATGGTCAAAAGAAAGGAGACACATTCCTGCTCCTTCTTGTTGGGATTTTGAAAGCATTTTACTATGAAAGTGGGAACCAACATTAGGAATTGGTGACAATGCACTCATTCTATTTGGGTGTCACAAGAGTTTCTTGGATCCTTGTGACCTGTCTGGCCTTAGAACCACACTTACGTAAACGTCAGCTATTAAACCTATCATCAGAGGATGTTTTACCAGGCTTTCTCCCACTTGGTGGAAGAGGGATCAGGGTAGTGAGCAGATCTTCCTCACAGATGGGCTCTGGTGATAATTTTACTGTTATAATTGTGCTTTACTTATAATGTCAATCTACCATCTTGTTCATTTATATCAAGCCCTGCCTACGTGAAAGCTCACTTCACAATAAAAAAAAATCTTGGGAGGATACTAATACTTACTATGAATGGACTCGTCGGATTATGCTTAACTTAGTGACTGGAGAATTAAGAGCTATTAGAACTGGAAGGTATCTTTCCCACCCTGAGATGCGGCTGGTTAAAAGCTCTGGATACTGGCAACACGATCACAGACAGGGGACGTTTACTGCCTCTTTCACGGGTCTGGGTATAAAGCATTCTCTGACCTGTTAGAAATTTAGGATTCAGGCAGAATTTGGGATTATTTTCCCCTTGGTTTCAAGTCATAACAGTTCAAATTCCACCAACATTATACTTTTAGGGTGCAATAAAGAACTGCCATAGTATGATACTAATGTAAGAATTCTGCCTGGATGGTTTCAAAATATTTCCTTACCACCTAGCTTTTGGACCTTGGTCTTCAGGAACTTCCAGCTAAAACTTAAGAAGACGAAAATGAAACTCCTTATCAAAATACCAGAAACATGACTAACCTTTACTATACAGTTATACATGTGTTTTTCAGTCTTCTGAAGAAAATTAAATATGTTAAAAGCCCTCAAAATGGTATAAGGAGCTTGAGGTCTTGTGGAGACTCAGAGGCCAGGCCTTCTTTCCTTCCATCCCCATTATCATTCTCCTGCCGCATGAGAGGCACAGGAATTGGGGGGTGGGGGGGAAGCTTCTACAAAAGCAGAGCCTTGTATTCCCACCATGCAATTTCTGGAAAGTAAATCAGCTTTGGGATTTAGGCTGTGCCTTTCCTAGCCTCACGCTGTCCGGTATTGCTACCAGGGACTGAGCACTCCCATTATTTTCTCTTCAGGGAGAGGGACCACTTACTTGGGCAAGATGACCTGTACTCTCTTGGGCACCATGGTGCTCATCCAGCTGTCTATGGTCTTGGTGCTGATGTGAGGGATGATGGCCGACAACGGGGTGGAGCTCTCGGTCGGCAAGGCAATCAGCATGCTGATGCTTTCCCCGTGGTAGGGCAGTTCAATGAAGTTGTACCATAAATCGTTGGGGGTGCTTGTAGACCCTAAAGAAATCAGAGGCAGGTTCAGTGTATCCCTGATGACTTCTAGAAGTGGCATGAGTGTTCGCTGATCACATGGGTAGCTTCAGAGGGAAGAGAGCGATTCAGTTTAAAAACTTTTTTCCAAATATAGTTTCCTTAGGAGGATAAAGAGACACTTATTTCTTCTTTCTCTGGTAAAGAATTATCTTTCTTCAATCTTGACATGTCTCAACAGAATGCCTTTGGGCGTCACTAAAATAACATTAATTCTGTTGAGTTGAATTGAACTAGATCATGAGGCATTTAGAATACAGGGCTTTGCAAGAAGCTGACCCTTATCATGTGAATAAAGGAATGAATTTGAACTGCCTGAGAATGGTTCTTTTGGCTGAGCCTATGTGAGCATGTGACGAGAAAGGAGAAAGGGATGAACAGCTCCATTGTTTAGGTCCCCCGCCAACCACTTCAACACATTTAGAAGCTACCGTGCCCCATGAGGTAGTACAAGCAGTCCTATTTCACAGCTGGGGAGGCTACAATTAGAGAAATTAAGTAACTTGCCAAGGGACACGTGGGCTAAGAAGTGGAACGCCAGGACTTGGACTCAATATGTCTAATGCCAACAATGACCTTCCTTCTCCACTATCCCGACTCCCTGCTCACTCTTCACCCATTCCAGTAACTGTCCTTACGGCTTTTAGATCCCTTATGATATTTATACTTACTAATGAAAACCTGAAAACAATTTAGACCAGCACTTCTCAAAATGGCGGTCGTCTGGAGAACACACAACCTGTATGTCACCCAGTAGACAAAGAGATTCCATATCCCAGTAAGTTTAGGAAGCACTGGACTGATTCTTCTTGCAGCTTCCTAATATACAGCAGTGCTGTAAAGGCTCTGAGATGTTCTGAAGGAGAGCTGTTTAGCTATCCCCAGGTTTCCTGAACTCATTTGCTCCTAGAACCCTTTTATTCCATGTAAAACATTCAAAACATTCAGCAGCTGAGCAGCACAACTGTGTGCTACTGGTGAGAGCTGGTGCTGGTGTGTTCATGAAGGCCCCAGCCGGAGGCCCAGCTCAGGGGTACGGGGCCCACGGAGGCCCCTGACTCCCCGGGAAAGAGTCTTCCATGGAGTGTGCCTTAGGATCCGGTCAAACCTTTACATTAGCCATGTAATGAGAGACTTATTAAAACTAACTATGTGAATGGCAAGCCAGCATTTCTAGATTTCTGGCGGATCTCTGAAATGGTTTATTAAGCACTTCAGACTTTTTAAGAACACGGTGACCTTGGGGAGGCACTTAACCTCTGTGTGCCTCTTACTATGGAGAGTGGAGACATCAGGGACATTAAAAGTACGCCCCTCACAGGGTCGCTGTGATGATTAAATGAGAAATAATATGTAAGGCGCTTAACAGGGCCTGGCCTCCTCCACCTCCTTCCCCTGCTCTAGATGACCTAGAAGAATAATGCATTTAAGAAAAAGAGAAAAGAGAAAGCGAGTTTCTCTCATGGTTTTCACTGTCTTTTCTCTGGGGACGACCTCTGCCAGTCACCGCGTGTGAGACAGGGAACTTCAATAAGCCAGTTCTCCACGGGTGGGGGGTTGGGGGGGAGGGAAAAGGGAGAGAGACGGCGAACTTTCTCTGTCTTTGTTACATAACGAACACTTTTAGCTATAAAATATGATAAAGAATAGCAACGCTATTAGAATATGTGACATGACAGGATGACATTTGAGTTTCTCCTTCAGGAAGCAAACTGTGGGCAATTTGGGGGGTGCTCAGTATATCCCGTTCCCATCTGCTGCATTTGCCTGAGGGGCTGCTCAGTAACCCTGAGCGGCCCAGCCTGGCTCCGGATGCCTAGGAACTGTCACTCAAGGTCGCTTCTGTCCCGGGGCTGCCTAAGAATCAAAGATGGGACTCTTTAACTTTCCTTTTACCTTGTGTCATAAAATGGCCTCAGCAGAAACTGGAAAATCAATGGGAGAGTCAGAAAAAACACCACTTCCTAATGAGCCCTTTACTCTTCAAAGAAAATAGGAGGCCCTGACTCTGGCAGAGCTGTTCTAGAAACTGTGCAGTTTGGGAAGCAGTTAATAAGTGATTGCTCCAGGGCATGAAATAAGGACCTGGAGGCATCTGTTAACCACTTCTAGAAACATTTACTGTTGTGATAAGAAGAATCGGGGTCATGAATAATGAAAAATTACGAGCTGGGGTGTGTTTTCCAGTGGGGGAGACAGCTTCTACCTCCACCAGTGAATCCAGCCTCCACTGGATACATCATTTTTTTTTTTTTTAAGATTTTTATTTATTTGAGAGAGAGAGAGAGATCACGAGCAGGGGAGAGGGGCAGAGAGAGAAGCAGACTCCCCGCTGAGCCGGGAGCCCGATGTGGGGCTCAATCCCAGGACCCTGGGGTCATGGCAGCCGCTTAACCGACTGAGCCACCCAGGCGCCCTCCACTGGATACACCACTAACTGATCAGTAATATGAATAACCACTTAGTATTTTGTACCTACTCACATCCGCCCAGTGATTGGTTTCTCCCTGGCCCCACTTCTGCTTCTGATCACAGGAGCTGATGGCAAATGTTGGCTAGGATGCCTCTCTGTACACACCCCCTCCTCTCCTAACCTGATCACTAAAGGGCTGCTCTCTCAGTGTCTTCTCACAGAGGACCAGGGTTGAGGTTAAACACACCAGATCTGGAGTTCTAGAATCTGGGTTCAAATCCTGCCTCTTCTGACACACTAGCTCTGGGTCTTGGGCAAGTGGCTTAACTCCAAGTCTTAGTTTCTTCGTCTATAAAATGGGATCACAGTGCCTGGCTTACAGGGTTGCTGTGAAAATTCAACGAGACTATACCCATAGTAAAGTGCTCAGCACAGAGGCTTGCACATAGTAAAAACTTTTCATCTACTGATGGAAGAAGCCTTGCAAAATGCGTTTCTTCTTGAGTTGCTCGGTCACTGTTCAAACAGTTGAAACACAGCCTCAATCCACCAAGAGAAACCACAGCTGCTGCAGTGGGCACAGGTCCAGGGCAGAATGAATCAAGCAAGGATGGGGATCTGGAGCCTTGTGTCAGAGCAGGGAGCCTGTCTTTGTCCCAGATACCTTTCCATTAAAAGGTCCCGCCCAGGTTCTCCACGCTTTAACATCTGGGAAGTAGACGGAGTGTTCTTTAATGAGGATTGATGCTGGAGTATAGAAAAATGTGAATGAAGCAGGATTCATTCATGCTGGAAACGAGGAAATAGATTAGAAGGGAAGAGAAATCTTTTCTCTTGGATGAATGGGGATCAACAAAACCTTTAATGAGAAGTAACAGGCAAAGAACCAAGTATCAAAAACATGGAGAAGATTTAGAACTTTCTGTAAGTGGTATTTGAGGATAATCCAGATTTTCTTTTTTTTTCTTCTTTTTTTTTTAAAGATTCTATTTATTTATTTGACAGAGAGAGACACAGCGAGAGAGGGAACACAAGCAGGGGGAGTGAGGGACTTGATCTCAGGACCCTGGGATCATGACCTGAGCCGAAGGCAGACGCTTAACGACTGAGCCACCCAGGCGCCCTGATCCAGATTTTCTGGAAAGCCCCCTAAAGACTCTGATCCCTTCTTTAAATTCTACAAGGGAGGAAGTAACTAGGCTCATTGAAATGTTAAGAACTCTTCTTGGCCCCTAAAATCAAAGAGAATATTTTAAATATTGAACATCAGGAAAACTTTATAGATGAAAATCCCTCCAATTACCTTCTACTACAAGTAGCTTTATGGATTTCCTGGGCTCTTGGGGAATTGTTTCAGCTATACTTCAGAAGAAACTGAAATACAGATTTGAAAACAAAAACCAGATCCAATGCATATAGTGGTGGTCCATATTCTAGCTGAAATGCAAAGTGGGGCTGGGGAGAGCTGATGGGGAAGGTGTAGTTTAAGCAACTGGGTGAGGATAGGTGCCATTTGTTGAGCTAAGGAACATGGCAGGAGAACCAGATGGGTGAGGACAATAATATATTTCATCTATGGAACTAAAACTTAATAGACAACCAAGTAGAGAGGTAATTTGGATAGGCAGGTATGAGTTGGAAGCTCAGAGGAGAGTGGAAGCTTGAAATATACTGTATATTCATATATATATTTATATATACACACATATATACATATATTTGGAATTTTTTGTGGTCTTCTTTCAAAATAAAGTCTTTTATGCCTAAACTCATAACCATAAAATCAAAAAAATTATAACAACTTTGGACTCAGCAATTCCTATCCAATGAAAGTACCTTTATAAATTCTGAGTTTCTAAAGATTTATGTACAAGAATGCTCGCTGAAGTGTTTATTACAGGAAAAATGTAATAATATATATATTATTACATATAATAATATCCATAGAATATTATAATACATTTATGCCATGGAATGTTATACAGCTGATAAAAGGATGAAATAAATCCACATAAATTAACAAAGTTTTCCACGATATACTATCTAATGTATAAAGCAGATTACAGAATAGAAATTACAGGGCAATCCTATGTATGCAAAAAAGTTTCACAGGCATATTTTCTATATCCATAGAAAAGGTCTCAAATTATATACCTACTGCTAAATAGGGGTTCTTATGCTGGGAAATGGAGTTATAGGAGAACATTTACTTTCTGCCTCATTACAATGTTTTATTTGTAGATTTTGCAATGGGCATGAAATACATTTCTGGGCGCCTGGGTGGCTCAGTTGGTTGGGCGTCTGCCTTTGGCTCAGGTTGTGATCCCAGGGTCCTGGGATCGAGCCCCGCATCGGGCTCCCTGCTCCTTGGGGAGCCTGCTTCTCCCTCTGCCTCTGACTCTCTCTCTCTCTCTTTCTCTGTCTCTCATGAATAAAAAAATCTTAAAAAAAAAAAAAGAAATACACTTCTTCTAAAAAAAAAAAGGTTTCAAGTCCTTTTTTTTTTGGTTAATTAGAAGAATTTCTATCCTCAAAGTGCTTCTAGTTTATGGGACATAGTCAGAAGGGTTTTCCCCTCCTCTTTCATTTTCCACCCTCTCTTCTTAACGTTACTAAGTGAATCTTCTCCGAGGTCTTGATGGCATCTTGGGGGGATGGTCCGGAAGACAGATACATGGAATAGCAATGCTTCTACAAAGGGGCTGAGGGGTCGTGGTGAGGCCCAGAACACCTGCGATGGGGGGTGGGGGAGTGGGTTGGGTGCTGCAGAGGTCGTGTGAGCGGGCCGGGCAGCCTCTGAGCTCAGTGGCAATGGCCCATCTCTGAGCGCTGGCTGGTCATGTTGGCCAGACTAGCGACAGGCAGCAAGGGGGTGACCAGCTAAGCAGTCTGTGGTCACGAAAACAAACAGCTGCTACGCTGTCCTCACAGACGCAGCAAGACAGATCCGCCCCGTCTCACTGTGAGAAGCTGCTGTGCTGGCCCAAGAGGGAAACCAGGGAACGTGGGACCCCCGTGAGCTCTGTGGCACGGCCCAGGAAGAGAACGGGTTCCAATTCCCAGTTAGTCAGTAAACCCCCGTGAAAGGCACAGGGAGGAGGGCAAGGAGGACGGTGGCTGTCCACTGTGTTTACTGTGAGGGAACGAGAACAGTGGAGAGCTGGGGTTTCCTTCTGTTCTGAATTCAGTGCAGACCAGGAAGGGTCCGATAGGAAGAGACAGGATCACTGGGTCACTGAAAAGGAGTTTAATGACAAGAGTTCTTATAAAGCATGGGTAGAGAACAGAGAAGCCATTCGGGAAGGTACCTTGGGCTACAAACATTACCAAATGTAGGCTGGGAGTGGGGAGGGCAGGGCGGCATGGTGACCCAGAGAGAAAGTGCTCTTGGCCACACCTGCTCAGGAGTGGAGACCTTTCTCGCAGGGGTGCGGCAGCCCTGGGGACCGCAGGGAGGGCGTGGAAGTCAATGCCCCAAACCCTCTCCTCCCGCAGTCCTATCACCTGCTAGTTCACCCCACAGCCAACTCAACGGGACGCAGGGGAGCCCCGACGCAGCCTCCGGGGGCCTCAGAACAAGGGGGAAGAGGATGGAGAAGGGAGGGCGTGACTCAGGGAAGATGGAGGGAAGGCATCCAGCTTACTGTAGTTCTATGCAGTTAGAATCCTTGACAACAAGAATGCGTTTGTGCATTACTTTGTGTAACACACACACATATACTCTTAGACAAACCGGTTCCTAATGGAAAAGCTACCCGGATATGGAACTCCCTCTCTAGGAACATACTCTATAATCCAGAAAAGATGTTCCATTCCTGTAAAAACAAACATATTCGTGTTTCATAGGAATGTCTACAGGATCCTTGCGTTTTAATCTTTCACTACTGACATTTATTTTCCAGCAACAGAAACACGATCATTGAAGGCCCTTCACTTTAGTTGTTTTATTAGAACAGAGAATGTGTATAAAGATTGACCTCAAATAAAAGGGCTTTGCTTCAGATACGAACTGGTGGCTTTGCTGGCGTTCCAGTGAGGTCTTCCTGGCAACACAAGTGGGGAGTAGGGCGGGCTGGGCTACCATGGGAAAGAGGGATGACTTTTGGGCAAAAGGAGCCTTTTATTATTCTCAGTTGCTGAGCACGTTATCTTTCTGCAGGGCTTTTAAATACATATTATCTTGTAAAGAAACATTTGAGGGAATGACAAAATTTTACCTAGAAGCTTGATGAACGAGAAGCAAGAAGGAAAGTGACTTGGTTTATTGCAGCCCTGGCCTGAGCCATTCCTTCGCTTAGAGAATCACGCAGCTGGTGAAACACTGAGCAGAGCAGCACTGAGCTCACAGAGACTGAATATGCCAAGGTAGTACTTGGGGCCCATGTGTCCAGGTACAGATCGGAGTCACAAAGGCTAACTCACAGAGGAAGAGCATCAGTTTAAATTGCATGACAGCCGCTTCGGTGAAACCAGGCTTAAAAAAAGAATCACCAGGCTTCGTTTATCAATACTGTGGCAACGAAGGCAGGGGTTGGTCATTGTTTTCTGGATCGTAAAATTGACACATGCTTGTTTCAAAAATTTGCAGATTCAAATAAAGAAAAACAGTCCCTTGAAATACTACCACCATTCACGTTTTATTGAACATCCTCCAAGACGTGTCTCCACAGATGGAGGAATATATAGAAAGTATTTTACGTAAATGAGATGAACCAGCATCTGCTGTTCTAGAACTTGTTTTCTGAAGTCAACCTTATACTGTGTCACCTCTCTACTTATGTAAATCTAAATCTTTTTTTTTTTTTAAAGATTTTATTTATTTATGTGAGAGAGAGAGAATGAGAGAGAGAGAGAGCAGGAGAGGGGGGAGGGTCAGAGGGAGAAGCAGACTCCCCGCCGAGCAGGGAGCCCGATATGGGACTCGATCCCGGGACTCCAGGATCATGACCTGAGCCGAAGGCAGTCGCCTAACCAACTGAGCCACCCAGGCGCCCTATGTAAATCTAAATCTATTTATCCCATATGTTCCACTATACATACGTATCTGGCTTTGATTTATTTGCTAGGGTGAGATGATCTTCAGAGTTTACAATCCTTGGTGTGGGATCACTACACTGGCTCCTAGGAAGTCCCCCATCCCACAGCTCCTTCCACCCACCGTGATCGGGGCCCACCTCCCCGCCCCCCCAACCAGAGCCATGACTGGGCTTTGTCAATCTTTGTAAGGTTTGTGACTCTGGTAAGTGGAAAAGAATCAGATTTTTACTTTTATGATGACCTGATAATGCTTTCATAGGCTTAAGGCCTATTTATATTTCATATTTTGTGAGCTGTCCTCACTCTTTAAATTTTCCGCCTAAAAGCCTATATGCTATATATTAATACATAACCTCTGTAAAGAATACAAAACTTTACCATGGACTTTAAAACAATCCTGCCCTCCGTTCCCCTGCCCTTTTTAAAAAAATCAAAGTCAGATCTGCTCTTGGATGAAGTGAAAGCGCTGGTGGGGCGTGGCCACGCGGACACTTACCGCATCGGAACACGGAGAGCTGGGCAAGCATGGGTACTTGATAGGACTTCCCATCGGCTGCCACAAACGTACGTTTCTTTGTGTTCTCGGGTTGGAACCGTGATTTCCACAAACCCTTAAAATACACGGCATTGACCAGGACCAGTCTGGTGAGCGCACCATCGATGAGATTTGGGGAGAGCAGGTTGTCGATCATACCTGGAAGGTCACAGAACAGGCAAGGGAAAAACTCAGGATTGGCAGTCCATTTGAGGGCAAAAGGCAGTGCTGGAGCATGGACAGTGAAAAAAATCAAAGGAATTTTTAAAAGACTTTTTTTTTTTTTTTAAAGATTTTATTTATTTATTTGAGACAGAGAGAATGTCAGAGAGAGAGCACAAGGAGGGGGAGCGGGAGAGGGAGAAGCAGGCTCCCCGCTGAGCAAGGAGCCCGATGCGGGACTCGATCCCAAGACCCCGGGATCATGACCTGAGCCAAAGTTAGTTGCTTAACCAACTGAGCCACCCAGCGCCCTTAAAAGACTTTAAAAAGGAACTGTTTACAACACCCTTTTGGTACTTTCTCATTTTTTTCCCTCACTGAAAATGAAAACTGAAAAATTAAAGCTAAAATCAGTGAATCCGAAAAGTCTTTAGAGATCCTCTATTTGAGGATCAAGAAATTCTTTTATAACTGGGGCACCTAGGTGGCGCAGTTGATTAACCATCTGCCTTTGGCTCAGGTCATGATCTCGGAGTCGGGGATCAAGCCACACATCAGGCTCCCTGCTCAGCAGGAAGTCTGCTTCTCCCTCTGCCCCTCCCCCCTCCCGCTTGTACTCTCTCTCTCTCAAATAAAATTTTTTTAAAAAAGAAATTTTATAATTAATTCCCTATGAACCCCATGTTTTAGAAAATTCTACTCATCTAAATAAGCTGTACTTAATTAATGATGAATTTCCCTATCTTTGCGAATAATTGACACGTGCAACTGCCAAGGAGGGTTTGCCATCAGCACAAGACATGCATTTGCTCTTTCAACCATGGGGTGGACTTAATCCCAGTCAAAAATGAAGCTCTTTGGCCTGTGCAATTTTATCAAGGATAAATGTTTAATTTCTCTGAAGGTTTTAGAAATGTTGGGCATTCATTTGGAATCCCTGGTACCACAAGGCCTCAAAGCTACTTAGGGAAGGGCTAGAATGAAAAATTAGTGTCTATGTTTATGAGTTAGGGATCGAGTGAGGTGGTAATATTACAGAGATAAAAAGAAATGGGGTCTGTCCTGGAAGGCCTCCCGACTTTGAAGGGAAATTCGCTCCACAAAATGTCAAGGACCATCCATCTTGTTTGTGTCGGGAGTGAAGGAGCAAACAACTGTGATAGTTTCAGAATGTTCTTTGAGGCCACAAAGACTCTTTTCTCAAATGCTATCTGTGCTTGACGGCTTGGGTTTTCATTAAGGCTCCTTTTGCTCAGTCTTTGAAGATTCAGCTGTGTATGTGTTTATGAGGGATTACTGATACCCAAAGCGATTAAAAATTAGTTTACTAATTAGTTTACAACTAAAAATTAGTTTACTGTAGCTTTTGGCCCCAGCATTAAAAAAAAAAAAAATGTAGTGCTGTAATATAAATGCAAGTTACAATTCTTTAAATGGTTAGAGTAAAATCAATAGTTTCTGCAGAAGCAAGAACGTCTAATTCAGGTGAGAGAGCTTTAAGTCCTTTTAGATGATGTTCAAGAAGATTCAGATGTCCAACAAACAAATGTTGGCATTAAATCATGGTCAAGAGGCACATCCAGAGGTTGCCCAGACCCCAGGGTCCTCAGTAAGAGCTTCATCACTACTCCTTACTCACACAAGAGGGCACCAATGCCACCATAAATCAGGACCTGAAGGAGAACCCCCGAGCTATAAATGGTCATCATTCTATGCAAGGGCAGCTTCTGTCCTGTGGGAGGAAGTTACAACTCTGTGCTCCAGCCCATAGCAAACTCCTTACAGTTGGCTCCTGGCAGTGAAGATGGTATCTTGCCTTTGCTGGAAACATCACCCAGTCCAACCCCTAGGTGCCTTTAAGACATAGCTTGGCTCTGTACCTATAATAAACCTCCTCAGACCCTCCTCCCAAGCTCCCAGGAGTTTCCATAAAGCTCAACACTCAGCGCCACCATTATACCTCTGGTATTTTGTTCCAGCCAAATTTAATGTGTCTCTCTATCCCAGCTGGACCATAAACTGCACAAGAGCAAGGACCCTGTCATTCACTTTTAAAACAATCAAGCCTATCTCTGTGTTCAGCACACAGTCAGTGCTCATTAAGTGTCTATAAAGAAATCTTCCCAGACCCAAAGCCTCTGACTGACACTGTCAAGACTAAGATACAATAAGGTGGAATGAAGAAATAACAAGAAATGATAAAAAGGTAAGAAATGTATGGTTTAGAAGCAAGGAAGCATGTAGAGGACCTGCCATCAAGAACTATGTATAGTAAACACGCATCCATCTCGCCTCCCACCTATCTACCAATCCATCCATCCACATACCCACACATTCATCCACCCACCCAGTCATCCATCCATCCATCCACATAGCCTCCCACCTACCCACCCATCCATCCACCTACCTTTCCATCCATCCACCTACCCACCCATTCATCCATCCATACATCCATCCACCCATACATCCATCCACCCATCCACCCATCCATCTACCACCCCACCATCCATTCTTGGATACCTACCTACCATATGCTAAGTACTCTTCTAGGTAAGAAAATAAATAAACAAAAAATGAAGCCCGCCCTCAGAAAGCTATGGAGAAGAGAGAGGGGGAGGTTGGCATAAATGACTCAGGAAAGTGTATGCAATAGTAATAAATACCTCGAAGCAGAAGTACTCAAGGATGTGAGGGCAAATAAGAGGGGGATCTGATCTGGTCAATGGGGTCAGGGATGGGTACCCTGAAGTATTACTTGACCTAATAGCTATAAAAAACAGCCCACACTTGCTGAACAGTTGTTAAGTGCTAGGCACTTTCCTAAATGCGTATTATTTACATTCCTTAATGTAATTCCTAATGTAACCTTAATGTTGTTAAAACTACTTTAGTAGTTGTCATTATCGTATCTCCATTATACAGATGAGGACTCTGAGGTAGAGGGAGATTAAGTAACTTGCCCCAGGTTACACAGCTAGGAAGTGGCAGAACCGAGATTCAAACTTTAGAGCCTGCACTTTCAACTATGAAGCCATTCCTGGGATGGTGTGAAAATGAATATGCATTAGCAAGGGGAAGGGGGAAGAAAAGCACCCCGGGCAGCCGGCTGCGACAGGAGAGAGCCTGGTGAGTTGGAGGGACAGGGACTAAGCGCGCAGGATGCGAGCACAGAGTAGGTGAAGGAGCAGCTGAGGCTGGAGCCCCAGGCACGCAGCCCTGGCTGGGCCATCGCCCCCTCACACCGGAAAGAACCTTCGTGTCTGGCTCTCCCCCTCTGCAGTGGGCAGGAATGGTCATCTCTGTGGGCCACACCGGGCAGTCTTTCAAATGTGGACTGTTCCATCTCCAGGGTCCTTGTGGCAGGTAAGTGCCCCTCAGTGAGGCAGATCCCCCCAAGGGGGCAACATGGGAACTTGTGGGAGAGTTTTCAGCTGAATGGCAGGTGGCCAGAGATGCTACTTGTCCTGCGATGTTCCAAACGGTCCCACATGGTGGGGCGCCTGGGTGGCTCAGTTGGTTAAGCGACTGCCTTCGGCTCAGGTCATGATCCTGGAGTCCCGGGATCGAGTCCCACATCGGGCTCC